TATTAAGAAACAGAAAAAAATATCGTTAGAAATAAAAGGAAGATTACTGAACTGTAATGTAGTACCAGTCAGAATATGGCAGTGAATGCTGGACAACCTCCTCATAGATGAAGAAGAAATCTGAAGCCACAAAAATGATGCAGATAATGCGATAGACCAAATATGACAGCAACGACGAAGGGACAATGGCAACAAATAGTACACATAATTAAGATCAGGAAGAAACAGTTGAAATTTATGAGGCACGTAATGAGGAAAGAGAGCATGGAGAATTTGATATTCATTGGACAGATTCTCTAAATATAATACTTATTATGATATAATAGTACTATTATTATTATATTTTTATTATAAGATATTATGATAGAAACGTTTTGAAATTGCTACATTGAAACATGAAAGCTTTTGTGTAGCGATGTCAATAAAAATAATAACAATATATTGACTTACTTTGTATAGAGCACGTTTTCTTAAAAAGTAAACGCTACGAACAGTGGACTTTTACTCCATCTGTTATTTTCTTCATTTGGATAATGGTACTAGAATAAAATACTATCTATGTTTCTTAATAATTCTTGTATTAGCCTTCATATATCTTGTGCTAAATATAACAAATATGATATAATGATATAATGGTACTTGAATAAAATACTATATTTCCTAATAATACTTGTATTTCTTGCATTAAATATAACAATTATTATAACATAGTGGTAGTAGAATTAAATAATAACTATGTTTCCTAATAATTCTTATATTAGCCTACACATTCCTTGCACTAAATATAACAATTATTATGAGATGGTGGTAGTAGATTGAAATAGTATGTTTCCTAATAATTCTAATATTAGGCTACATATTTCATGACAAAAGTTATGAGATAATGGTAATAGAATATAATACTATACTACCTAATAATTCTTGTATTAGCCTATGTGCTGAAAAATATTTTTGTATCTAAGCTACGGGTACGAGCTCTATCCAATATATCCCTATTGACACTGTCGAAAAATCTAAAAGTCGCAGGGAATCACAATAATAATTTCACTCCAAGCAAGTCGGGAGTGCCACTAGCAGAGTGGGAGTAAGAGTAAAGAGGGGTGTTTGGGGAAAAAATAAAGAGAAGGACAAGAATCAAGATCAAGGCATCAGAAGATGTCGATTAATAATTACATTTAAATCTTTAAAGATTATAGTTATCCGGGAAGCAAGTAGGGGGGAGTTCCACTGTCGGGAAGTGCGAGAGAAGAAGTTGTTGGAGTAGAAGAGGCGGTTAGATCTAACTGTTTTGTCAGTGAAAGGGTGGGACCTAGATGCCAACCTAGTAGCATGCTTACATTCATGCAGGTGGGGTACCAGTGAAAGTAGCTCGTCAGAGCAGTTGCGATGAAGATATTTGTAGAAAAGACAGAGGGAAGCAACAGCACGTCCGTAAGACTGTAGTCGAGATGCCAGGTCAGGACCCATCATATTGCATATCCGTCTTTGGATTTTATCGAGAACCACGAGATGAACAGCGGTAGCAGCAGACCATATATGGCAATAGTATTCAATGCAAGGGCGAATAGTAGAGTTGTCGATTTTGAAGGATGGACTCAGACAAGAAAATCCTTCTGGCGCGACACAGAGAAACAACTTTCCTTGCGGTAGATGAAGCTATTGATTCAATGAGGTTGTTCCATCTGAGGTCAGTGGAAAACGTGAGACCAAGAACTATAGTTCATTAATTCATTAATGGGGACGTTATAATGCATAAATAATTTAATTAGAATTTAAGTATTTTTTTTTAATTTAAAATAGTTTCTGGTTTACGATGTACGCTTCATTCTGAAGCGAAAATTGTTGCACATTAAATATATTTTACAATTAAAAACTTTGTAAAAATTTAAATAACGAATACGTTCGAGTTTGACATTTTCCACATTTCTCTGAGGTGTTCATTCACATCATTTATGATTGATGAGCTTATCTAAAATATATAAACTGAACAGGTGCAGTTTTAAAGATTTTCATGTCTGTTTATCGTTGATGTGTTTGCTTTCAGACGCTTCGCATTATTTAAAAACAACTGAAATCTAACAACACGAAGTTACCGCTAAACATAACATGAAATAAATGTCACCTATAAACAAAAGAAATAGATGCAAATTATGAAAAAGAGGTTATATTAAATCAAATTGAATTAATTTAATCTTATTTGTAATCGCAGTGATAAACTTCAGTTAGTTAATTGCCGTACGTTATAAATTTTTAGACGATCATGTTTCTTTCGATTATTGACTTTTCAAATTTTCCGGAGATAGGTTGCCTTTTCTTTCTAATTTTTTTGGGTCAAAACTTTAGCATCTGATTTTGGCCTTCTGTGAAAGTCTTTGTATTTCCAGGAATTTATCTTAGAGGCTTTATTTTCTCAACACGGAAATTAAACTTTTCTCATTTTTCAACCCATACAAAACAAGATAATTGGAACATGCTCTTTGAGGTTTTATTGCTATTTTTGTTTTTCCTACATTGAAAAACTTATCTTGATAATATTTTGAAAAATCAGTTTTCAGCATTCTGTTCAGTGACCTCTCTCTAAGAATAAGAGACTTAAAAAAGAAAAAAAAAATGTCGTTTCTCGTATTCTGAGACAGATTCTATTCAAGCCATAGCTGGGAGAGAAGACATGGCTTCATACCTTTCGTAATGTTATTTGCGTGTAAGTGGATGCAATGAACTCAACTGGAATTCGAACTCGGTTCTTCGACTTTGAATTCCGAGCTGTTATCGATTACACTACATCAAATACCCCGGAATAATATTTTTAATAATTCCTTCGAGTACATTCCTACGTTGATATAGCTGGCCTTTCGTATTCGAGAGTACCCGTCTACTAGGGCGGCTAGCTAATCTCTATTGTAGGCGCATTAGTGTTTATTCAACACCCACAGAGACCATCTGTGGTTTATAATTTAACTATTCAGAAGAGAACTTAGTTACAGTTTCTGGGAAAGAGACTGTTATCTAGCTTGATCAACAATTTGAACAAGCCCAACACATTCAAGCCCTTGGCCACGATGACTTGTGACTTTGTGCTAGAACAGCTATCGACGGCCAAGGATTCTGTCTACAAGGCTTGGGCCAACACTTGGTATGGTTTTCGGGCATTTCCAAACGCTGGGATCTATCCCACAATAATTAAGTTGTTTATACTTTTATAACTTTGGTTTGTGTTTATACTTAATTCAAAAGATAAACATTCGGATCGGATTGAGGAATCCCAATCGAATCCATTACATCCACTAACGTGCTAATAACCTGGTGAAACGTATGATTCATCTTCTTCTGACAAATCGACCATTAATAAGATTCGAACCCGGGTCTCATAGGCAGAATGCAAACGTTCTAACCACTTGGCCATACGTTGGGGACGGATATTAAACTTACCTATAAATCATATTTGTTTTATATATGTGTGGTGGTAGTTATTTTCCAAGCATAGCTTAGATGTGGCACAAGGCCGAAAATATGGGGCATCTAGTGAGGATCTAACTCACTTTTCAGTTGTAACAGATCTAGCGAGACAAGCTTGCTAACCCTAACACCAGGCCGAGGTGCCCTAATATGTGTGGTGATAGTGGACTAGGTTGTCTAATTTCAATGACATTGTTGCCATATTTTACGTAGAATATAAATGTCTTGCGGTTGAATTTCTACTTGAGGTACATTGTCATAATACAAGTAAAAGATAAATATTTTCCACTATTTACATTATTTGAACCATTCTCATCTTTGTTGCAATATTTATCACAACGTTTCAGCCGTTGTACGCTCCGGCCTTATTCAGGTGGTTAGAATGTCGAACTGAACCCTTTATTTTGCTCGCTCGGGTAGACTATTCTAGTTCTACGTGCCATGTCTAAAGGATGTCAGTCATCAGTTATCTCCTGTTAATTCCCCTTTCCAAGTTCTCCATCGCCTTAACCAGGTATTGAACTAACAACTCTTTGGGTCCTGTCATTGGATCTAATCAAAGCCTTTATACACTGTAAGAAATCATTTTGTAGATCAGGTTTCCTTGAAGTATTTTTTTCATAATAGTGTTCATAAAAGAGGCGATTAGGTTAGGTTTGTTTGTTTTACGGTTTATCAACTTCAATCGGTTATTTAATGCTGACAAAATTTTTATTGCTGGTAATATTTTTTTCAAAAATGTATTACTGGTAATTCATTGTTGGTAATGAGCTTTTACAAAAATGTATTACTGGTATTAAAACCTATTATTATACGTTCATAATGTTTTGATCCCAGTTTGGGAGTTAACTCTTTGCCCATAGCTGGGACCCTAAGAGGTGCTACCACGCCGGGTCAATGGTTCCACGCTCCTAAAACCCTACTGATCAGAGGATTGCTGTTGGATGTAGTTTATCGTCTTACGCAGGGTGCAAATGTAGTTTATCGTCTTACCTAGGACGTTCTCCAGTTGAGTCAAAAGGTTAAAATTGGTCTGGTTCATATTTGCTTTAAAAGGTGAGCATTCATCAGGTTTAATCGTTTTATTAAGAACTAAATATTGGTTGCGTTTATACTCGATTTAAAGACTACAGTTTGACCCAAACCAAATAATTGGTGGAGTCTAATCTTACGTTAACAGTTAAACATGGATCAGGTTTATACCCGTGTTAAAAAATAAATATTGGTCGTGTTTATACGAGATTCAAAAGTTTAAAATTCCTCGGACTTAAATTCAAGTGAAATTTAATCATGGTTCATAAATGACAAAAAAGGAACAATTTACTTGGAACAAAAGGTAAAAAAATAGTCAAGTTTATACTTGAGTTAAATATAAAACATCACTCTGTTTTATAACTGAACCAAAAGTTTAAAACACATTTATACTTAGGTCAAAATATATAAAAAAAAGTTATGTACTATACTTGTGTCAAATGTATAACATCGCTGTTTTATAATTGAAACAAAGGTTTAAAATTCGTATAAACTTTGATCTATAGGTTGAAATGGTCAACCTGATACTTGACTCAAATGTAAATCAAGGCTTTGTTTTATAAGTGTGTCAACAGTTTAAAATTCGTTTATACTTGGATCAAAAGGTAAAAAATATTCAACTTGATACCTGTGCCAAATATAAAACAACGCTGTTTCATAACTGATTGAAAGTTTAAAATTCGTTTATACTTGTATCAAAAGGTAGAAAATATTCTATACTTGAATCAAAGTTAACAATTCTCACGATTATACTTAAGTCAAAATGTGAATTTTCGTCGGGTTTATACTCGAGTCGAATCGACACATGCAGCGGATGATTTTATAATTTTTGTTTGTGTTTTTACTTGATTCAAAAGATAAACATTCGTCAGTTTAATGCATGACTCAAAGGGAAAATATTACGGTGGAGTAATGGATAGCAGCTCGGATTTGAGGAATCGGAGAGCCGGGTTCAAATTCCAATGTAATCCGTACATTCACTTACGTGCTAATACCCTTTGGAAAGGTATGCTTGCTCTTCTTAAGCTATGGGTAAATAGCAAGACAGACGGGGTACTATAGCCTTTGATGGCAACTGGTCTACAGCAGAAAGAAACGGCAACCTACTGGGGGAAGAAATCTGCCTCGTCAGTCATGTAACGAAAGATGCATGATCGCCTAAGCGTGTATCATGAATGGCACATGATATGTGAATAAAAAATGAAACTTTGCTTGTGTTTATATTGGAAGGAAAACGTTTGTTTGTGTTTATTACTAAAGCTAAATATTGGTTGTGTTGACATATGTGTCTCTAAGTACCCACCCGAAAAATGAACTATTTCGGGGCTTACCAATCTCGAGTTTATACAGTCGGCATATTTTTAACTCCGGTGACAATTTTGTGATGCAATGATTTTGCTTACATTTTAACATTGGCCATTTTATTTATAAAATTCAGAATCGATTTTTGTAGTAATATTTATTAACAAGTGTAGCAAATAGTCAAAAGATACAGTTGCTGATAGTTTGGTTGGCTTATGGCCAGATCGTACAATCACCGGAGTTAAGGAACGTCGAGGCAGGAACGTACCAGGTGCCGGCTTCACTGTACAGGTGCTAGAAATGGGTTGAAACCGGTTCACGTACAATCACTGAAAAGGAACGTCGAGGGTGGGCAGGTGCCGTAAGGTGCTTCACTGTACAGGTGCTATGAAATACGGCCATATCACGTTGAAACATCGGTTCACGTACAATCACTGAAGTTAAGGAACGTCGAGGGTGGGCAGTACCTTGATGGGTGACCACTTGAAAATACCAGGTGCTGTAAGCTTCACTGTACAGGTGCTATGAAATACGGCCATATCACGTTGAAACATCGGTTCACGTACAATCACTGGAGTTAAGGAACGTCGAGGGTGGGCAGTACCTTGATGGGTGACCGCTTGAAAATACCAGGTGCCGTAAGCTTCACTGTACAGGTGCTATGAAATACGGCCATATCACGTTGAAACATCGGTTCACGTACAATCACTGAAGTTAAGCAACGTCGAGGGTGGGCAGTACCTAGATGGGTGACCGCGTGAGAATTCCAGGTGCTGTAAGCTTCACTGTACAGGTGCTATGAAATACGGCCATATTACGTTGTAACACCGGTTCTCGTACTAACACCGAAGTTAAGCAACGTCGAAACTGGGTAGTCCTTAGATATGGGTTTATGCTTGATACACGCTTAGGCGATCATATATCTTTCGATACATAACTGATTTTTTCCCGCAGCAGGTCGCCATTACTTTCTGCGAGAGACCAGTTGTCATCCAAAGCTATAGAACTCGGGTTGTCCTGCTATTTACCCATAGCTGGGAAGAAGAGCATTCATACCTGAAGGTATTACCACGTAAGTGAATTCGAACTCGGCTCTCTGATTCCTCAATCTGAGCCGCTATCCATTACTAGACCGCTACCACTTAAGAAAATCAGGGGTGGTAAGATTGGATATACGGGTGTTGTAATAAATAACGGCTCGACTTACGGTTTCAGTCGCGGTCGTTATATTGAGTTACGCGCCATGAAATCTGTATAGATCCCCCTCTTCTCTCTCCCCAGCTATGGGTTAATTAGTACGACTTGTATCAATAAATCATTATTATCTCACAAAAATTTGTTAGAATCTGAAAATATTTTCTGGCCTTAAATATCCTACAAAAGCCGTAAAAGACAAAGAATCTAAATATTGTTTGGTTATTTACGATCACTTTTATATACTTTTTTTTCTATAATAACTTGTGTATTTTTCCGCGTTTAAGTGTAACTAAATGAGAGGGACTAGAAGAAGGAAGATTACTTTATTCTTTTCTTTTTCTTTTCTGCATTTTTCTTTTTTTTTTTTCCTGTTTCCTTTACACCATTTCACTTCAGCCTTCTCGGCCTTATATCAACTTGTCTCTTTTTTTCTTTCTTTTCTTCTTTCTTTTCGGCAATCTAATTTCATATCGTTATCTACCTTGGCCCTTGATTTTTTTATCTTTCTTCTTCCTCCTTTTTTATATTCATATACGTCGTCTTTTTTCTTTTAAGATTTTTATTCTCTCTCCGTTACCTTCTTCAAGTCTTATCACTTCAATTCATTCCTTATTCTTTCCTCTACAACTTTTCCTTTTTACAATTTTCTTTCATTCTTTCTTTTCTTTATATTGTTCATTTATAGAGTCCATGGCTTTCTTTTCGATTTTTTTCCAATTTTGAATCCATTTATTCAGTCTTCTTTTAAGATTATTCAAGCTTCATTATTAAAAAATTCCCGCTCTTTTGGCCGCCCATTTTCTCGTTCATTTATTTCTACTTATTCGTTATTGTTAGTTGTTCGTTTAATTTCTAATTTAATTCCTTTCATACTTAAACTTTCTTTCTTTCTTTCAATTCGTAGCTTGCTTGCTAATCCTCACTTCCTTCCTCCCTTTCTTCTTTCCGTCCTTCCTTTCCAATCCTTACCTTCTTTCTTTCTTTGTTTCTTTGCTTTCTTTGCTTTCTTTCTTTCTTTCTTTCTTTCTTTCTTTCTTCACTTGTTTACATTTATTTTGATTACAGCCTTCCATTCAATAAATGTGTTTTCTAAAATTTAACATTTTTTTTTTACCAATTAATTTCATTGCTTCATTTCATTTGAATTCTTTTTCATTCATCTTCTTTCTTTTTTTTCTTTAAAAGACATTCTCATTTCCAAATTCTATTTTCTTTAAGTTGCTATCCATGGATGAAACAAAAATTCCTTTATCATTTTTTTCATTTCATCCACTTTTCCCATTCATTGTTTTTTTTCCTTCTTCTTATCATTAATCAAACTTATTATTGTCAAATGATTTTCTTTTTTTATGGAAACTTCGTCTAAATTTTCGATTTTATCCTCGTTTCTCTTTTGTTGAATAGTCACATTTTTCGTTTGTATACTACAAATAAAGAAAAAAGTGTGCAAGACAATAAGAAACACTACCTGCCAAAAAAAGTGAAGTTTTGTTGAAATCGGTTGAAAAATGTAGGAAATCCGATCCCATATATAAACGAACACACACACACACACACACACACACACACACACACACACACACCCTTGGTTTTATAATAAGTATAACTCGATATGAGTTGTCCCCCTTTCATTCTCGCGATGTCTCTTAATCGTGTTTTCAATTTGATGTTGCGCAAAAACAATTGTGTTTTTCCAAATTTTGGAGCTTTCAGAACTACCGCGAGGTAATTTTACGTAGTCTTGTGAAGTTTTGTTGAAATCGGTTGAAAAATGTAGGAAATCCGATCCAATATATAAACGAACAGACACACACACACACACACACACACACACACACACACACACACACACACACACACACACACACACAACCTGGGTTTTATAATAAGTATGATTTGTTTATATTTTCTGTCTTTCTTTCCGTTTTTTATAGCACATTCGTAGTATTCCTTTCAGTTTTTTTGTAATGTATTCACTAAATTTTCTTCTTTTCTTTTTTCTGGTTTTCTTTATTTATTTCATTCATTCTTAATTTCTTTCTTTTCAACTTTTTATATCACACTCACTCTTTCATTCTTTTTCTTGTTTTCTTTTTTCTTTTCAACTTTTTATAGCATACTATTATTTCTTTTTCTTTCATTGTTTCTTTCTTTTTTCTTTCTCTTTTTCGCCTTTTATAGCAGAATCGCAAATCTTTTCATTCTTCTTTGAAATTCTGTGGCACATTCACTAAATCTTTTTTCCTCCTTCCTTTCGTCCTTTCAGCTTTTCCTAGCATATTCACGAACTTTTTTCTTTCTTTATTCCTTTCTTTCTACTTTTCAGCTTTTTAGAGCACATTCACTCTTTCTTTCTTTCTTTCTTTCTTTCTTTCTTTCTTTTCTTTCTTTTATTTCGAGGATTTCCATAACGTGCTTTCTTTTCATCTCATTCGTATTTTTCCTCCTTTTGTTTGTTTCTGTCATGCTTTTTCTTCAAACCAACACTTTCTATTTCTTTCTTTCTTTCTTTATTTATTTATTTATTTTATTTCGAGGATTTCCATAACGTGCTATCTTTTGCCTTTTCATCTCATTCGTGTTTTCTTTTCTTTTTTTTGTTTCTGTCATGCTTTGTATTTCTTTCTTTCTTTCTTTCTTTTTTCCTTTCTTTCTTTCTTTCTTTCTTTCTTTCTTTCTTTCTTTCTTTCTTTATTTTATTTCGTAGATTTCCATAACGTGCTATCTTTTGCCTTTTCATCTCATTCGTGTTTTCTTTCCTTTTTTTTTGTTTCTGTCATGCTTTGTATTTCTTTCTTTCTTTCTTTCCTCTCTTTCTTTCTTTCTTTCTTTCTTTTTTCCTTTCTTTCGTTATTTATTTTATTTCGAGGATTTCCATAACGTGCTATCTTTTGCCTTTTCATCTCATTCGTGTTTTCTTTTCTTTTGTTTGATTCTGTCATGCTTTGGCTTTCTTTCTTTCTTTTTTCTTTCTTTCTTTCTTTTTTTCTTTCTTTCTTTCTTTCTTTACCATTTCATTCAAAGCATTTTCTCACCAACCTTCTATTCTGATAATTTCACTCCGGCAGTTCCTTATTTCTCTCTCTATTTTTTTCTTGATTCCCTTCATCAACGCCATGTTTTCCTGACATTATACGTCATTTAAATTCACATCGACGTTAGCAAAAACTCTGGACGCCAGGAAATTTCCATCAACGAAAAAATAATTTTCGTTTTCCCGCCAAAATCCTGATTGAAAATTATTTCCACAATTGGCCTGAAGACATCTTTCGCCGCCACCAAAAGCGCTTCCATCATTCCATGTCATTTTAGACCTTCAAAGACAATAGCACTGTCACCCACTAAATGAACTCCGCATTTCATCAAGTGAATTTCTGTCCTCTTCCCGCGAACATCATCCGCCATTCTCCGACACGCATGCGTCTTTCAATGACAAGCCATTTTATCATGTTTCATTTGCAAACTGAAAAAGACGAATCGAAAAATCGTAAAGAAAAATATTACATACAATTAATTATACGAAACGAAATGTGTTATTTAAAAATATAATGCACACATGGATACATGGCAAATATATACACAGATTTAAATGCAGATACGCATAAACATCATCAATATATATATATATATATATATATATATATATATATATATATATATATATATGCGTGTGTGTGTGTGCGTGTGACTGTTTATGTATGTTTGACTGTGTGTATATGTGTATACATGTGTGTGTAGTATATAGCTGAGTCTCCTTAATCCATAGATATAATGTATCATCCAACTTAAACATACGTATATATCGAATAGATACACACACACACACACATACACAAGTACACACACACATATATATATACTCATATATACATATATATATATATATAAATATGTATATATATATATATGAATTTACTTATATATATATTTATATTTGAATGTGTGTATATATATATATATATATATATATATATTTATTTATGAATTTATATTAATTTATAAATGTATATATATATCATATATTCATATATGGATTTATATATATAAATGTATTTAGATATACATGAATATATATATATATATATATTTGTGATATATAAATGCATATTTATATGTGTGGATATAAGTGAGTGTATGTGAGTGCTGGTAGTAGTTACTGTTTCATAAAATCGAAATATCTTTCATATCATAGCTTCATATCTACAGCAATAGGTGAAACTCTGATTCCTTCATAATTTCGCAATACACAGGAACAAAACTAGTCATAACTTACAAATGCCACCCTAATTACGGAAGAACATTATTTATGCCAAAAATATTATTATCGTATCACCAACTTTTATTAAATCCATCCTTAAAATATAGAGCTCCGTAAAAGTAAGTGAAGCCCTAAAATAATTAAAAAAAAATATTTATTTATTTTTACAGATAATCAACAAATCTTAATTACACTATATTAATTTCGAATAATATTTGTTAAAGGAATTACAGCCACTTTAAAAAATTTACCGTTTATATCCGTATAAAATATCAATTAAAAATTAATATATGCAAAATAAAGTGAACTCTTACATTTAATATTTGCTGACTCCTCCTTGTGGGGTAACAACGTCGATCAGTCTTTTTCTATAATTTCAAGAAGTTTCTGGCGGTAGTGAGCGTCATTATTTGACTATTCATCTTGGCGAAAATTTCATCAATGTTCGACATTACTTGAGTTTATTGCATGTACTGTCTTCTTTAACTTGAACTTCGAGCGTTTTACTGAATAGGTAAGTTTATTTTTAGTTTTTTTTCTCTTTCCTGTTTCAGTATTGTCGGTTTTATTTGAGATTTTATCTGGTTAAGAGTTTTAGGTTTCAGCAAGTTGTCCTTTTGTTCCACCAACTATTTTTTCTTTAATTATATATATATATATATATATATATATATATATATATATATATATACAAGTATATAATTCCATAATGAATTCTAATAACCAACAATTACTATTCTTAAAACAGTGCTCAATACAGAGTAGAGCAGATATAATATTTATTTAAAAAAAAAAATTATAACCTAAATATGTTATAAAATCACTACAAAAATAGCCATTTTGTTTCAACACCTCCGGTGTCTTATCAAGTGATGATGTTGCAGCAACATCATCACTTGATAAGATAACGGAGGTGTTGAAACAAAATGGCTATTTGAATTTGTTAATCTTCTCTATATCGTTTCAATTTTAGTATATGTGCTGTTGAATCGAGCGTACCTCTCATAATATGCACTTCTTAATTCATCCCTTTACGCTCGTCGATCACTTCATTCACGATCAGCAAGGCAAGTCCTGAGCAGACTGTGAGATCGTGTGTTGAATCAATACAATGTCCATCAGTCCACCAAGCTGAAGGTCGACAACACAGTTGTCTGTACCAGACATCCTTATGGATGTGTGATCTGGACCTGAAGGGTTATCAAATTGCTGGAGCACTTTTATATTTGAAGCTAGCGCTCTATTCTGGCCATGAAATGGCTGAATAGGATCACAAACCTTGACGTCCTGGACCACAAAGTCCAAATAGCAAGGCATGTATAATAATGAGTTTTCTTTGTTCGTAACCATCTTGAAGGATGCGCTTAGCTGATTTTTATTACATGTTAGTTCTCATTGAGCAAATACAATCTTCAAATTTGTATGGGGCCCCCAATGAGGATCAAACATACGGTAGTAATGATCAACCAGTTTAATTTTGTCAACCCTTGTCCCACAAGGAGGTGCTTATTGACTCAAGTTTGGTCGATTTTATATATTAAATTTGGGTTGGTTTATTTAATGTCTAATTCTGTACGAGGCACCTAGTGCGGATCAAACTCACTACTCAGAAGTAATAGTCAGCCAAACTAGCCTTTATGCTGGATAGTTTTATGACATGTTAGCTCACTGGTTTATTTAATTTTGAGTATTTGAATGGAGCACCCAGTGTGGAACAAAATCACTAATCATTTATAGTGCTCGACCAGAATAGATTCTCCAACGGTGAGGTAGATTTTTTTTGAGATTGGGTTATCTAATGTTAACTTTTGTATGGCGCATCAAGTGAGGAGCGAATTTGCAACTAAGCAACAATTGTCGTGCTAATTGATCTTTATCACGCACTGAGTCGGCTGTCTAAAATGAAGCGTGTTTTGAGAGAGAGCGGTGAAAGTTGAACATGTAAAATTAGAAGATGCCGAGCACCCAAAATCAAGGCAATAACGCCACTAAGACGCAAAGAGTTACTGAGTGTTAGAGAATATGAGGAGAAAAAATATTACGGAGCGTGAACACTGAAAAAAGAAGAATTAAGAAGACAAAAGATAACAATCGATATTACAGGTAATATTTTGAAGGTCAAAGTTTGCTCAGAAACAAGAAGCCGAAAGAGAGTTCCACAAGCGAGAAGTGCGATAGATGAAACTGTTCGCATAGAATCTACCCAGTTTAAATATAAATCGATGAGACCTTGCCGGCAATCTAGTACTGCACATCATAAAATCTAGGTACCCTTAAGGAAAGTTCACCAGAACAATTATAACGAGGCAGCGACATTACGACAGTGGGAAACTGATCGAGGCCGAAATGCCAGGTCAGGACAAGTAACATTGCAGAATCTTCTTTGGATTTCATTAAGAATCTCTAAATATATAGCAGGAGCACTAGACCATATGTAGCAGCAATATTGTAAGCAATAACGAATTGTAGACTTATAAATATGTAAGACATTATCTGGCGTGAAAAATTGTCTTACACGAAACAATTGATAAACGGACGTAATAATCAATGTTTTTTCAAAATTATTGTACAATCCGTTTATACGGAGAATTGAAACGCGATTCCTCTGATACGTTATTAAAACCTTGGTCGGGAACTTTGAAGTTATATAATGCCTAGCAATCTTGTTTCGCTAGATCAATTATTCGACGGAGTAATGATTTCAATCCTCATAGGGCATCCGATACTTACGGCCTTATGCTATATTAAACTACCTTTAGAAAATCACCTAACTGAAACCGTACGAGAATTCTGAAAAATGAATTATCAACATTGTAGTGTTAAAATTTATTTCAATTGAGCAGTTCGTAAAATAAAAAAAAAAAAATAAAATGATGAAATTCTTGTTTCATTTTGAGTGTGTTCCTTGAATAATTTCCTGGAAGTTCAACAGATTTGAAGATCAAAACATCTTGACCAAATGTCTTTAAACAGATAAATCGTAGAGAGAAGATAAAAACATAATAAAAATACAAGAATAATTACCTTTTTATTAATGTTGGTCAAATAATTCGTTTTATTGATTTACTATATTTATCTATTCCATTTCTACGAAAATTACGGATAATAATTTCACTCACAGTATACTTATATTAGAATAGATGCTCTGTCTTTTTAATTAACCAGTATTTTTTATGACACTACATCTACTGGCCTGAATATTCGATGTTGAATAAAAAATACCATTTAATTAAAAAGCAGAGCATCTGCTCGAATATCCATCGATAATAACGTTTACATAAAATAAATTAATATAAAAATAACTCGGCTTTTATCCATTTCCTAATATATATATATATATATATATATATATATATATATATATATATATATATATATATATATATATAATTGTTGTTAGGGATAATTATTATATCATAAATAATATTAATTGTTAGAGATAATTCCAAGGAGGATATAAATCCAAAGAGAGCTCAATGTAAGAACAGAGCAAATACAATAATGAAAGCGGAATCTTTAGAAATCCATAGAGATTATATCACGGGATATATATATATATATATATATATATATATATATATATATATATATATGTGTGTGTGTGTGTGTGTGTTTCGCTATA